AAATCGTAGAAATTGGACGGCACGCGAACGATGAAAAGGAGGTTAATACCACGGGTGCACGAAACAGACCGAAATAATCTCGAGAAGGATCATTAACGATTTGGTTCATCGCGATGCGATGATCCCTCCGAATACAAGTCGCGTGCAGCTCACTCTTGTCTAATTCCGTCGTTTGTTAATCGGAGGGTATGTAGAGTATGTAGCGTTTGAATCAGCTTTCGTGACTTCGGGAATTCGAAATGATGACGACAAGCGCGCAACGAACTTTCAAGCTTCAAGTTGGAGGAAGAAGCTTTATTTGTTATCAGATTTTGTAAGTATCAGTGATGGATATACTTGTAGCTGAACGTTTGATTACGAAACATTGCATGGTAAATGAAAATTTTCGTGTTTAAAATTGAAAGGTGTTTTTTATCTGTATCAATAATAGCTTTGTTTTTTTTTTTTATTACAAATATGTTTCAAGTAAAAATTGTATTATTTGAAACAAATAATGTCGCTATATACTTTATATTATGGCACAGATCATTATATTCACGCAAAATTACAAAGGAAACTTTAATTTTTCGTGCAAAAGTCACGAAAAAAAAACTGAAATTCTTTTATCAAAATCCGCACGGAAAATAGAGAGAACCGTGCTATCGAAGTCACTTTTTGAATCATCGCGATATCTCAATCCGTTGCCGAGATATAAGAGCTCAAAGTATCCGCTCAAGACGGATGTAGAAATTATGAATGGGCCCGCAATCCAGTATTCTATATTTTTCCTGGAAATGCGTACTATGTTCTTCCAAGAATCGCGTACTACGCTTTTCCAGGAATCGCGACTGTCACTTGTCTGCAGTTTGGGATAGGTCAGCGAGACGAGAAGTCCGAGTAAGGGACAAGGACGGAAACAATAAACGATTAAAAATTATCATTTTCTTTGCACGATGATATCTCGGCAACCGGAAGTCGTATCGAGATAAACGAAAAGGCGTTTTAAAGGGTAAGGTTTCACGCTTCTAACGATCGTTCGTTCGTTGATCGGAACTCATTATCTTCGGAGTTACAACGGTTTAAAATTTATCTAATTTTAATAGGATTAATCCGGTTTAACGTATATACTTAAAAATTATCTTTTCTTTACACGACGATATCTTGGGAACTGGAAGTCGTATCGAGATAAACAAAAATACGTTTTAAAGAGCAAATTCCCCTGCTTTTAATAGTCCTTCATCCATTGACCGAATATCCTTACGTTCGAAGCCATAGCAGTTTAAATTTTAATCGAGTTTTAATGTAAATTACACGATATATCGAAGAATACTGCTTGCAGCAATATTAGAGGCTATAAACCGATTTAAAAAATCCTTTGATTGAAATAAATTTAATCAACCAATTAGAATGTAATTGATCTTGATATCTTGAATCATGATAATCTCAATAATCTTGGAATTACTTTAACCATTTTTTCCTAACGTAAGAAACGATGAAAACTAAGATCTACGCCAAGAATACAAACGTAGGAGAAAAAGAGAGAAGAAAGTAGGCCAATTCGAGGGATGACGCAACGTTACCTGTTGCTTCTCGAATTGGCGAACCAATGCTTGCCGTTGTTGCAACGAAAGCGCGGGTAAAAATGCAAAAATAATAGTCGAGACGAGTCTCGATGGCGTTCGATCGTAAAAAGCCGGTACGTAGTCGGCCGAGCCGGTCGATCGGTCTGTGTCCGACAAAGCGGGACAAAAGGACGAGCCGGAGGAACCGTGATATCCTGGCGCCAGTCGCGGCTCCGCATTCTCCTCTCTCTCTCTCACTCACTCTCCCTTTCTCTCTTTTCTTTCAAACAAAACGAATATCGGGAGAATGGTGGAGCGGTCGATGCAACGGATACATATACGTGTTGTAGGCGGGAATATGGGCCAGGCGAAAAGTTCTCGAAACGAGGATCTCTATCGAGGCAGAAAACCACGTCGAACCACGGGGACCAAATCTTATTTTCCTTCACGAGAACACTCGTTTTCGTGGAATAAAAGCTGCGGCCAAACCTCCCAGGCCTGACTTATCGCGAGCCAAAACGTTCAAATGAAAGATGGCTTTGCCATGGATAGCGGTCACCAATTGGATATTCGATATTCATACGAAGATTAGCGATTTAAAAATACGGAGAAAGAGAGAGAGAGAGGGAGGGAGGGAGATGAATGGGGAATACGAAGATGGAGAAGCAATTGCGGGTTTTCGAGGTATGCGCATTTTTAAGAGGCGATGGAATAAGAAATAGCAGAGTATGGCGGGACATTGATTAATTGAAATGACGAAGGGGCAATTAAACTTGGTTACCAGTTGGCCGATCATTATTGTGATCAACGTTCCTCGCATGTGCATCGCACGATAACAATCTAATTGATATTTACGGCTGCCCCAGTGTATCCAGGTATTTTTAGGTTGGGCCTAAGTCAGTGTCATGCGAAGGCAACGACCTTAGAGATGTAAGAGTCTCGTAGGCTGGGAAAATAGACGAAGAAATAATCGATATAAATACACTGTGTGCGTGTATGTTATATTTAATTCAAGATGTTGAATCTTTTTCTTGTTTTTCTTTTTAATACTTATCGATGATAGATTACACCCCATATTATATCCGCTGTTAAAGCTAAAGAAAGTTTCGCGCTTCGAAGATACTAATGATCAATTCGTTTGCCGAAAAGACAAGTATCTTAATGTATTCACGGCACGGTACTAGCTAATGAATTTCGAATTATCAATAATTAAAGCGTAATTTTAAACGCGGCCCACCAACACCACGTTAAGAGGACCAGGTCATTTATGCAAATTTTTCGTTCCTTTAAACCAGTTCCGTGAGAAACTGGTGTCTCCCTTTGGAAAAAAAAAAGTGAGCCAGATAATATCTAACCGCGAACGAACCGAGCGAATTTCTTCAAACTACGTCGCTAATTAATCCGCAATTCCTACTTTTTTCTCTTCTCCATCCTCCACTTCTAGCTAGCCCCCGTCGCAGAAGAAATCAGGTCGAACATCCGCTCCTTCTCTCTCTCTCTCTCTCTCTTCTGACACATCGCAGGAAACGTCAGCTCGCGTGATCGCCGGTCGACTCATTTTTAAAACCATCCCTGACATTTAAAATTGAAATGTTCTTCCTTTTCCCTCTTTCGAGCGTGCTAGCTAGCCAAATCTCCTCTCCTCTTCCTTCCCCTCCCTTTTTTTTAGATACAAAACCACGAGCTATTCAAATTTCTTTTTGGAAAGGGGACGAGTTCCGAGAAACTCTATCGCTCGGAAAGAAGCCGAAAATTTCATAAAAAAATCCCGGCGTTAACGGAAGAAGGCGAGACACGAGTCTAATTGCGAGATTTCGAAGAGATTCGCGATGTTAACGACCGTCCACTGACCCGTATATCGTGTTGGGGAAGGGATAAGGTAAGGACGAATTTTCGCCCTCGAGGCCGCAAGCCACCCATCCAACGAGATTTACCGTCCTTTATATTTAGTATCGAGAAAGGCGGCCCTTTATTGAGACGTCATCGGTTAACGCAAAACGAGAGTAATGCGATTGGCCCGTGGTCTCGAGGTGGTCCTCGCCCGCCACGCAAAAAGTTGCCCCAAACCATCGGCCTCCCTTCCCTTCTTCGTGCAACTGTTATAAATAAGCCCCCCTTTCCTCCCCCTCCTCGGCCTGTTCGATAGCGGGTACAGGTATGTAAACGCTGCCGCGGCTACCAACGAAAGGGACGGCGTGGTACTTTTGAATTAATTATTTGATGGTGCCCCGTATGAATAATTCAACGCTGCCCCCGAGATGAATCCGAGAAGACCGATGCGCCCCGGCTGTGCATCGAGGGGTTGGCCCGGAAAATGGGATTGCCTTTTTGATTTATCGCGGGAGGAAAATTCCCTTGGAAATTTCTCCTCTCCCCGCGATTCACGAGGTTGAGAAAATCGTGGGAATCGTGGGAAATTTTCATCATTCAGTTACGTTACGTTTCCTCGAGACGAGGACGTGTTAGTTCGTCAGCATCGAAAGTTGCGTTAATCGATCGAGAGATGGATTCTGCGGAGAGTCGATGGTTAATTCGAGTGAGGAGGAGGGGGTGGAAAAACGAGAGCAAAAAGCAAGCCGGGGGTAATCGATCTGTTACATGAGTCAGTTCCTGCGACGAACCGAGCGTGTCCATAGCACATTAATTACTATTGCGATAGCCGGAGTCTACTAGAGATATTTCTTTTATTAAGCCCGGTTGAAACGAGCCTGCCACGCCTCGTGATCATTACTCACTCGACGGCAACACTCTGATTCGGTGCCTTTTTTTGCCGAACTGCGCTCGATCCCATTGAGACAAACCGAGCACAGGCTTGTAAGCACACGTGTGACAGGGAAACAAAGAACGTACTAATCGAAAGAGTGTGTGAATAGATTTAACACGTTCAATGCGCCGCGTAAAGGAAAAAAAAAAAAAAAAAAAAAAAATAAAGGAAATCGAATGGGCCTCTCTCGACGGTGGATATTGACTTTTGATAAATATAAAAAACAGTTATAAAACGCGAAAATTATTACTGGACGGGAGAATGCAAGAGAAAAGCCAGATACGTAGAAACGCATTTCATATTTCTTGGAAAAATTCATGACGCGACAGTATGCATCATTCACCATAAAATATCCATAGAAATCTCCATGACGCATACGGCATTCACATCATTTACATCGAATGTATTAGGATGCAAATACGTTTGAGAATAAAACGTTAAAGAGTTATTTTTTTTTTAAAGATAAAAATTATTATCTGACAAATCATTCTTAATTCGCGGTAAAAGTTTAATAGTAAAAAATAACAACGACTCTTTCGCTCCAAAAACTTTGCACAAACTCTTATGAAATTAATCGATGAATCGGTGAAACATCTTTTCACTCGATTCTATCGTTCGAATCTTCGACTATCGAGGGATCGATTTTCCTTATCGCAGTAGAGTGTAATTCACTTTATCACGAACACACGTTCCAGGTTACTTCGGCAAGTATCTGAACAAGTACAACGGATCGTACATACCGCCCGGATGGCGGGAATGGGGAGGTCTCATAATGAATTCACGGTACTACAACTACAGCGTGAACATGAACGGGAAGAAGATAAAGCACGGGTTCGAGTACAGCAAGGACTATTACCCGGACCTGATAGCGAACGACAGCGTGACTTTTCTACGCCAAAGTAAACACAATTTCGCACGGAAGCCGGTGATGCTGGTCGCGAGCTTCCCGGCGCCCCACGGCCCGGAGGATTCGGCACCCCAATTCTCACACCTCTTCTTCAACGTCACCACACACCAGTAAGTACAGAGAAACTTCGTCATTTGCCCGTCTATCTTTATCGTTGTACCTGGTCAGTTCAAATCTGGGTCAGTTCGTTAGGATGGGAAATTTATTTGCCAATTACGAACGCTCCGCGCCTTTCCAACCCTCTCGTTTCAATTAACGCGACGTAATTTTCTCTTTTTCCCCTTTTTATCGTATATCTATGGACGCGAAATTCGCAATTCGAATTTATTGGAGAAAAAAGAAATAAATTAATCGACAAATTTCATTTTTCATTGAAAAAATTTCATCCCTCGTTGTACCATTATTTGTGTACACTCCTTTTATCGCTTATTTTCCACGGATGTTTTCTCGGAATTTTCTTTTCCCTTCCCCCCCAAAGTATAAGATTACCAGGTTGAGATGGACGACAATAATCCTTTCGACTCTCGCCCGAGGAAAATGTAGGAAGATGTTTTGCAATTTTCTGCATAGAGAGAGAGAGAGATCTGAACAATCCCACCCTCTCAACGTCTTATCTCAACGATCTGTCTTATCGGATTATACGGGATGATGAGTTGGACTATTAGAATGGTAGTGTTGAATTCTCGAGGGGGAACGAACACCACGATACACTCGACGCGTAACATACGCGTTTCCCCTAAATCCTCATCCAAATCCTTCGGGACACTTGCGCAAAAATTTGCAAGATTTACCAGGGACAAAGAGGGAATCGACGAACGTTACAGGTTTACGCGAGATTAAATCGCAGGCCGCTATATGCAAACTCGCGTTTACTTTTCCCTCCCTCTCCCTCCTTCTATTATTATTCCCTCGTACGCGTTTGACGCGTTTCATTTTCATTCACGATGACGAACGAACAACACGCAATCGTACCATAGACGTCTAAACACGCCATACACCGCGCGCTTCCCGACAATAAGAGCTGTTTCTCCGAACGAGCCGAGTTTGTGCACGCGTTTCTGCCAACCATTCGACGTCCGGCGTCCAAGTTTTCTCAACCTCTGTCCGCCATTCAGACGTCGTTTCAACGAGAAATCTGCACGGGATGGGGGGGGGAAGGGAGGGCGATATTCCCGACGGTCTGGTGGGAACGACGAAGAAGAAATGGACGAAAACAAGGGACAAGGGACAACGAATTCGTGAACGAGTCTGTGGACGATTTAACGGCTTGTAAAGAGAAAGAGAGGGAAAGAGAGAAAGAGAGAGACATAGAGAGGAGCCAAAGATGGAGGTGAAAAACCGAGAGACACCGAGGCACTCTAGACTAGACAACCGGATAGATAACTGCAGCCACGGTGTCATCGTCGCGTGATGGAGTGCCCTAGACGGGGTGCGCGCGATGAAAAGCACTAAAAACGCGTGCAAAACCCCTCCCTCCCCTGTTGGCAGTCTCGTCTCGCCCCTCTGGACAACGCCCGTTATTGTACATCCACGATGCAGGTATTATATCCACCTGTCTCTCCGTTCTCCACCGGTGAAAAAACACATTGCTTTGTCTCGCTCCTCGCCTTTGCCAGTTTTTCAAACTCTCCTTATCCTTTTCACTCGCCCACCCCTCTCCCCTCGTGCCCGCGACTCGCGTACGATTCAGACGAAGAAGGGAAAGGCAGGGAAGAGGGAGAGAAAGAGAGAGAGAGAGAGACGCGTGAAGTTTTCGCGAGAGGGATGATCTTTTGTGAACGAGGGGGAGGAAGGGAATAAAGATCGTACTCGTCGTACAGTATTTTTGATTCCACTCGATCGATTCTGAACTAAAAGGATCTTCTTCGACACCGTTATGGGTTAATCGAGGTAAGGCGAGATAAAGTATCGATCGACGAATCCTTTCGCTTTCTCTACGAGATTGCACCCGGGTCGCGAACGGTATACAGTGTTTTATTCGATAATATTCGTTGCCCTCCTTTCTTACCCTCCAGGGAGAACGATGAACGGTCTGCTCGCCACTGTCTGAATCCACGATTTCGAGGAAGAACGCGCGCCCGACCGCAACGGTCGATACTACTTCGAGCTCCCTCTCGAGCGATCGAAACCGAGGAGAACAAATGAATATTGAAAAACGCGCTACAAACTACTCGCGATGATTGAAACGCAAAGATTGAAATTCGCATCACCTGAGAATTCTATTCTATACTAGAAATGATATTGTTCTCCCGTGACGCGTATAAATTATAATTACAAACCCGGCTCGGTATTGCGACATCATAGGTGTCGATTAATAGGAATTACATTAACAGCGAAACTGCTCGTTTAATCCCGTATACATCGTGGTTTTTTTAATTCCACGCTCGTGCATCACGTGCATTCTCTTGTCGTTCAAAAGCCAATCGCGGGGATAAGAGAGAGAAAAAGGAATAAGAGAGAGGGAGAGGAAGGGGAAGTGAAATTAATGCGCGCGCAATTACGCGCTTTCACGACGCTTTTAACTCGATGTTTGTGCCCTTAAGCAGCCTTCGTTGGCCGAGTCGTTTCATTCGGTCGAATTAATATTTTTTTCCTTTTTTCTTTCTCCCCCTCTCCCACAATCCCTCCCCTTCCTCCTTCGCACGATCGAGAAAGGATCGGAGCGACGAAGCAATACGAAATCGGTTTTACGACTCCTGGTAATTTCCCGATTCAATCTCCTTCTCTTTTTCTATCCTCCAAGCGAGACCAACACGCGCTCGTGACCCAAATTACGTACGTTCAATCCTCTCCTTTTTTTTTTCCTTCTTTTTCTTGCTTTATTTCCACGGTACACGATGGAGCATGGAGCAACACTTCCGCGCGTTAGTTATTATCCTTCGATATTTTCCCGCAACGCGATCGTAAATCTTTTCCACCGGCTCGAATCCGATCGTGAAGGTGGTGATGGTGATTATTTAACGCGCCTTTCGCTGGTGTGGGTGTATTATTATTATTATTATTATTGTTATTTACATTCTCGTTCGTTTATTTATTTATACGCAATACTACTGTCGCAATTCCCCCCCCTTCCTCTTCACCCCAATGTAATTTCAATTTCCCCGAGAGAATCGAACCGATACGAAACGATCGTCGATCGTCGATACGATATCGAGATACGGAGATCGCGATCGTGACAGGTGACATTTCGCGTGTCCGATCGAGATTTACATTTTCGAGCTTGTCGCGGCGTTCTTATCTTATGTTGCTTTACGCAACATCTGATAAGCGGCCGTTTTACCGTAGGAACAACCGCTATCGATCGCGGTGATTGCCGAAGTCGAAGAGAGCGAAGTAGATTTTTCATCGGGGGTTCGACGGGAGGAAACGGCGAAATGCAATTTATCCGTAAGATCCAGGAAGGAAAGGAAACGGAGTGTCCTCTTTATACCATTTGAATGTAATCCAAGAAAATCTCTTCTCTTTCGAAGAAGAAGAAGGAGAAGAAGAAGTAGAAGAATTTGATTAAATCGAGAAAGAGGGAGAGAGAGAGAGAATCGAAACGAATGGATTGAAATTTAATGATAGCTCATTAAATAAATCGTATCGAGCGTTTTATCTTCGTATCTTGTATCTTGGCGAGCACGTGGAATACACACCAACGTTACCCAAGGAAATGAACGCCAATGACCGACAGGGAGAGAAAGCTGTTCATAATCGGAACCATCTATCCATTTGGAGCGAATCAATCTTCGAAACTTCTCCTCGTGCCAACGAGGTCAAGATAAACGAACTAAACACGCGGCGTGACGTGCGCACTTTTCGTTAACCTAATGCAATCCAAATCCAGACAACTAACAAGCAACTTACTCAATCGTGGTAGAAACTATTCCATTCAAAAAAAAAAAAAGAGAAAAGAAGAAGCAAGGACAGGCGGGTAATTTTAAGAGGCTTAAGATCATCCCGTCGATCGATCAAAGGGGAGAAAAATTCCAACGACACGATTTTTAAATAATGGAGCACGAGGAGATCACGGGGATCAACTGGTGGTTTGTATTTCACACGTGGTCCACGCGTGGACGTTCATTCCACGGGCTGATTAAACGGTTGCATCTAAATCTCGACGAGGCGCAATCCTTAATGGGTGTCCCGATGTCCCATTGTGTTTCGCAGGGAGCTGTTTCACAGCGTGGTGAGAGAAATCGCGGGCTTAATATTTCGACCAAACCTGCCTTTTAACCAACTCCGTGGCCAGGCTGAGTTTATCAGAGATTTGGCTTGTATCGAGTCGCGGGACAACGACTGTGTTCCGCCCGCGGCCTCCCTTTTAATTCCAGGCGAAACGCGCCTGGCCCCGTTAATATCACCGGTGATCAGATAATCGGGATTTATCGTTCAAGTAATTAGAGGGAGAAATTTATGTAGCAATTACGGTTGAGAGATGATCTTACCGTATTCCTTGGGGAGGGAAGGAAGGAAAGAAATTTACCATCGTAAATCGGGTTTAAATATTACGTAGAGGGTGGGGGGAATATATCCTGCTCCTTCTCGTGCTCCTCTTGTCCATTTGGAAAATCGCAGTCACGATCGATTAATTTGCTCGCAATACGAACACGGTGATCGATGATCCCTGGAGTAGATTTTCTCAACTGCTTCGATGAGATTTATTTTAAACAAATTTAACGCATAAATTGTGATAATTCGCAAATCGATAATTCTTTTAATTCTCATCTTTTGGGAAATAATTTTAATTTATCGCGTTCCCTGTTTTCTGGAAAAATTCCAACGTCGATCGATTATTTCTTACGTCATTCTTACGTCACGATTTTTAGACGGAGTAGTTAAGGTAGCCGGAATAGATGTGGTGATTGTCGAGAACTGATTAACGAGGCGTGAGTAAACGCGAGACGACGCTCTCCACGTTCGCGTATCGGTTCGATCGCGAGTCGGAAAGACACGGGAATAGGGTTATTCGACCGCGTTGCGTCGCGTCGAGGCAAGAGGGAGGGAGGGGTGAAAGAGAAAACGGAAGAATCGAGCGGACAGAGACGGATAGGTTTCGATCGGATGGCGTCTTAGATCGTTAATAGCGACGTGAAATATACGTCGATCGAAGCGATGGCTGGTCGAACGGGAACAGCTCGGTTATTTGTACGAGTCAGCCCAGCCCCGTGCATTCGCAACACGACAATCGACCCTTTGTGAATCGACGCGTGGTTCTCCTTCCTCTTGCCTGCCGTCGTTCCGACGAATAAAAGAGAAAGTCGAAATCTTGGCCAGACGAGTATTTATTTCCTTTCCTCTCTTTTCCTTCCTTCGAATCCCTCGTCCTTCCGTATTATTTTTCGTAAAGGAGGAGGAGAGGTATTTTATGGAATTCTTAGTTGGGGACTAGATAGTTATTTCTACAATAACGAAGAACAATTTGTAATTCGGCGATTGAATCGTGGACAGTGGACGTTGAAATAAATATTTGGGATCAATATTCTTGAATATCGTTTCGAGGAAAGGAACGTATCGAATATCGATACTGAAACACGCGACGATGAATCTGATACGTTCGTAATGATCGTCCAACTTCCATTGTAATATATGCAAAACAACGAAACGTTGCAGCTATTCAATGGTTCAGTGAAAGCTACGATATCTCCAACGAAATGTTACGAGACACCTCTACAGATCGATATCCATTATTCCCCATTATCCTATCCTATCCTTTTTTAAAACAAACGTGACTTTTTGATGGAAAAAAAAAAAAAAAAAAGAAAAATTCTCTTATTCGAAGATTCAAAAAATTCCAAAGTATTTTAAAAAAAAACACCAGCTCAGAATCCAATTGTCAAATCGAGCAATCGATTCTCACTTTCGAGAAAAAGGCGAAAAAGGATGGCAACGAGGAAATGGATTGTTCCGTAATTATACTCGCAAGGGAGGGGAGAGGGAGGAGGGAGTCGATTAGCGTTCCACAGCGTGGAACGAGAACGCCGGTTTTTCCGAGGAGCGGCGAGGGATTCACGGGATGGAGACAAACGCGCGCGCCGATTTTTCGGGGGAGCGAGGGGCGGGGGGTGCACGTGTCTGGGTGCAAATATAATCGTCGAGTGTCTCGCGGGGAGAGTTAAGTGGCCGTGGCGAGCCGTGGTGCACGCAGAATAGGCCGCAATTAAGGAGTCCAGACGAAATATACACGAACGTGGGCCGTGGAGGGAGGGGAGGGAAGGGTTTCTGCAGCAGGACGGACGACGATATTCTTCGTTCAGATTGCGAGCTTTATTTTAAATTGGCATAAAGCGAGGGAACCAGCTTTTCGAAGCAACGAAAAGGTTGAAATTAATAACGCGATTTCGTATTTTCATTTAAAAATGAAATGGGAAAACTGCGCTGCTAGATTCTTCGAAGCTCTCTCTCTCTCTCTCTCTCTTCTCTGAAGAATCGTAGGTTCGTCGTTTCGGAGAAAGGGGTTTCCTTCCCTTTTCTCCGCGGTTTCCTCGTGGATTTCGTTCGGAAAAGGGAGGGAGGGGGGCGTGTTCCTGGTTGGATTTATCGCGGCGGCCGACGCGTTTCTTGTTGGATCGTTAATTCAACGAGCGCACTCGCGGTATCGCGATGATCGCGTTAGGCAACGCTCTCTCCTCGTTTCCAGGGAAAAATCTGCTCGGCTGTTGCCGGAAGGGAAACGGGATTCCTCGGAATTTCGCGTTATACAGCAACAGCTATCGCGCAGCACGCGAAACGCTCGTTTTCCATGCATCGTCGACATGCACGCCTCCCTCTCTTCCTTCACCTCTCCCCTTGATGAGATCTCAATTTCGTTTCGCGGGAATTAATCCAAGCAATTGGAGGAAGAGGCCGATTCGATTCGATCGAACATCCTTCCTTCCACTTGGCCGGCAAGAACGAAACAATTGGACAATCCGAAATGTAACGAGCATTGTAGCTTTGGATAGAGAAATTAAATTCGAAATACGTCGAATTCCCTTCCTTCGATCGCCTCGTTCCTCTCTATGAAATCCCGTAAGAAGACCGGGCCGTGTGTATAAACCTGTTTCTTGCATCTCGTATACGAAACATCCGCCAAAGTGAGACAAGGATCAAGCAGGGAGGCGAGCCGTTTCTGAAGGACGTGGTGGAAGGTGAAGGGCCAATTACCCATAATTTCGTGTCTCGTGTAATTGGTGGAGAGGCAAGAGGAGAGGGAAGAGAAAGGAGGGGGAGAGAGGATACGGTGTCTGCCTCGAGAGTCTAGGCGTTGCACTGGACGTTCCCTTGCTCCGCGAGATTAATTCAATTTCGGCCTGGCCTCGCTCGTCTCGCTTGCGAGGAGGAATCGTGCGAGTTTCGATCCTAGTTACCTAGAAACCGACTCAACTCTCGCTTAATCGGCTAACCGGGATTTCTCGAGAGTCGTCGAGAAACAGGACGATCCGGCTGACTGGATTAAACACGGTCGAACGATCCCTTTCGCCAAGCTCTGTTTCATCTCAAAAAACAAAGATTTTTTTTCCCTTCTCTTTTCTTTTTTCCCCTCCGCTTGTTCTAGCACCCCGGCCTACGACTACGCGCCGAATCCCGACAAGCAATGGATACTGCAGGTCACGCAGAAAATGCAACCCATACACAAACAGTTCACGGATCTCCTGATGACCAAGAGGCTTCAGACGTTGCAGAGCGTGGACGATGCCGTGGACAGGGTACGTACGATGATTCATACTCGTTTTAGCACCGTTTTCGCGGGCACGTATTAATTTGCCGACCTTTTTTACCATCGTTGATGCGTCACCACCGTTTATTTTTAACAACAGCCGCTCGTTTAACAGATTTACCAAGAGTTGAAAGATCTGGGCGAGTTGGACAACACGTACATCATCTACACGTCCGACCACGGCTACCATCTCGGCCAGTTTGGCCTGATCAAAGGGAAGAGTTTCCCTTTCGAGTTCGACGTGAGAGTGCCGTTCTTGATAAGGGGGCCTGGCATCGAACCCGGCACCATGTAAGCACGCGCCATCTTGTTTCATTTTCCGTTATTCCACTTCTCGTCGTGTCGGGTATCTTTGTAGACAGTTATAAGTAGGGCGAGTAAACGAGCGCGAGTCGTGACTCGGTTCACCGCGCGGAGGAGGAGGCGCAGTTAAAGTTGTAAATCACAGAGGTCGGATAGAGGCGGCCAGGTTTGGGTAAATTGATTCGTCAGCTTTGCTTGCGCCCTCCTCCTTCGCGAATTTCAGAGCTTTTCGATCGAGCAACAGCTTTGATTGGAATCGAGAAACAGTGGTCGCGCATCCCCTCGTAAATCGATGGCCCAAAGGGGCGAAGTAGAACGCTCGATAATTTCAGCCGATCGCGGGTTGTTACATTAAACGCGTGTATTTATGCGCCCTTAAATATCCGGCGTCGAGGACGAGATCTCGCCCGCAATAAATAGAGAACACTGGCGTTAAGTGGCCTGGCCTCCGCCTTCTGGAATTACGGGTACACGGCCTCGAAAACGATAAATTATCCGGGCTAATTCCGCGACAGGAGGGACGAGGAAAAGACAGCGCGCTAATTGACGAGACGGTTCACCGTTCCTCGTTGCCCGAACGTGAATTCGCGTGTGTAAAATCGAGGGACGACCGCGAGTTGTCTGTCACGAGCATCATCGTTTAGATTAATATCGCAACGTGGCGCCTTGCTTCCGCGATGCAACCCTTTCTGGATTTAATAATCGATCGAAAGAGTCAAAGAGAATCTCGAAAAAGAATATTCGAAAATTAGGCGAAGGAACGTAGGCGTTTAACGTTTCCAGAGACAGTGTCTGTTCGTCTGAATGCAGTGAAATATCTTTTTAAGGAGAGAATTGACGAAAGGGATGTTCTACAAAAGTTTTGTTTGGCAAAAATATTAGCGAAAATTATCACAAAGGAATTGTTAATACTGTTCAATATTGTATTTTTTCTTATATCAAATTTCATTTGTTCTTAGATAAAACAGACACCTTGTAGATATGTTTGCAATATTCGCGCAAAATGTTAGAGGGTGGAATGTCGTTACGTTCGATAGAACAAATATTATGACTATGGTAGATTAATCTTTTGTAGAGACAGGTTTAGTTTATAAAAAAAAAAAAAAAAAAAACATTTATTTTCCGTTCACCGGTTCTAATAAATGATCTTATAGCGTGACTCGGTGAAGAAGAATTTAAAAATATATATATATATATATATTATAAAGATAAGAGGATGAAGTTATCGCGGTTTGTACATTTCCCTCCACGTTTCATAAACGTGTTTGAAATTGAATATTAAAAAAAAAAAAAAAAAATCAAAGATCCGTAATACGATAAAACGAGAAAGATGAAAGGTAGGGAATAGCGAAGGACGAAATATCGGGATATCCGAATGGAGGGTTTGCTAGCTCGGTACTCGCCCTAGGGTAGGGAGTATTGCTGCAATATTGGATTACAATAAAGCATCTATATGACGTTGCAGAGTAGACGACATAGTTTTGAACATCGACTTGGCGCCGACGTTTCTGGACATAGCCGGCGTCGAGACGCCCCCGCAGATGGACGGTCGTTCCTTTAAGAAACTTTTTCAGAAGTGAGTATATTTGCCAATTTTTCATCCCACGTATATACGCGATTTAAGGATTAAATCCCGCAATAAAACGAAAATTACCATTGAATCGAATCGAACGAAACTCGAACACAATTTTGACGAAGCTTTGCCTTCCGTCTTATGCGCGATGTGAATTTTCTGTAAATTTTTCAAGAGGTTTGCGTTTGCGTGTTTTCCAGCAAACACGGGAGAAGATCCAAGTTCAAGTGGCCGGATACGTTCCTGATCGAATCTTCCGGGCGTCGAGAAACGCCGGAATCGATCGCCGAATCGAAAGCGAGGGAAGCGAGGAAACAGAATCAAACGGCGTTGGTTAAACAGCATTCGAACGCGACACCGGAAGAGGAGGAGGACAACACGGCCGATCCGGATACGGAGCACGAGTCGGAGCATCGATTCTTCGAGAACGATACGGGAAGCGATCAAGACATATCGGAGGACGAGGATTTCGAAGACTCGATCATCGATGAATCGAGTAATATCTCTCTTTCTTTCCCTCTTTCTCCATTCGATATTATTATCGAATAATAATTCTTGCGCGTTATAAAATCTTATCCGGGACGCAATTTAGCCTGGAGGGAGGCGTAACCATTTTGCGCTGACCTTTTCGCGGCAATAAAGTTGCTCTCTGGTTGGAGAGCCGCAATTTCGCATTATGATCCGATCTTTCAATGAATAAATTACTCGGAGCCGTGGATTTACACAGAGTATTGACGACGAGATTTAATCGAGGAGTAGCCATCCGATAAATTCGCGATGAAAGAACTGTTTCTTTCCGTCTTGTTTTCTCTCGCGTCTTTCGCCACGATATCTCGATCGATCAAAGACAATTATTCGAGCGATTAAGATCGATATCTCTCTCTCGATGCGTAAAGTTTTAATTAGTTTCGTATCTCGCGACGCGAAAAGAAAACATGGATGGAATTTCCTGTTCCAGCTCGACAAGGGTAATAAGCGATTAACTCGAACGAATTTTTATTCATCCTATCCGGATTATCGGGTTGAAATCGGGATCGAATCCGATCGGATTCGATCCAAGTTATACGCTATACGGGATTTACGCGACTTTAATCCCATTTTATTGCGCGCTCATAAACTCTCCTCTTCTTCTGTATTATGTAATTTCTTCTTCTTCTTCCACCTTTGTGGAACAGGATTATATCGGATTCTTCTTACCGCGTCAGAAAACCGCGTAAATATCACCAGTTATGAAGAATATTCTTCTAATGAAACAATTATAAGGGGGGAAAAACGATGTTCCAGACTCCGATCCGCATCTGGACAACAGGGTCCATCCCGTTCACTCGACCTTCTCCACCAAGCACGAACGATTGGCCATCGAGTGTTCGAGGCCGGAAGTCCAGACGAATTGTATCCCGGGACAGAAATGGCGTTGCGAGAGGGATGGGCACAGGTGGAGAAGGCACAAGTGCAAATACGCGGCACCCCCGCCGAGGATGTCGAAGAAATGCGCCTGCTTCACGCCGAACGGTGTCGTTTATACAAGATTGGAGTCGAACGATTACGATTACGTGCATCGATACCCCGGTTTTGGCAGGGATAGAAGACCGACCGATGTGTACGCGGATGTAGCCAGATACTTTGCTAGACGAGGTAATTCACGAGATTTAATATTTCCAGATATATTTGAAATAGAAAATATTTCGATTGGCAAATTACCGTATCGCGAATATTATTATTATTATTAATATTGATTCAAATGTCTATCCATTTCTTTAATATCTTCGCGATTTAATTTTTCTTGGCATCTTATTTATCATCACAATTCCATTGGAATCCGTTATTCTATTATTCTATTCTTTTTTTCTAAAACGATTTTGAATATTTGGATATTTGAAAAATGCTCTCTACATTTTTTCCAAATCGAGATAAAACTATCGATTGGCCTCTTTCCCTAAGTCTAAGTCTAAAATCGTTTTCACAGGCTTAAGAAGGTTAACAGGAGGTTCTGGAGATGATAGTTTACGATTTTTCTCACAGGCAAACGAGACGTGTCGGGAGCAGGGAGCGAAGATTCCGGCCAAGATACAGACGAGAACGATGATGAATATAATGACGGTGAGCGGGATCGGCGAGCCATCGACGAGGAGGACGACGAGGATTTCTTCCAGGAATTGGACAGTCTTGCGGACGATGTGAGAAAGGAATACGTAAACTTGATCTTTAGGTACGAAAAGAAGTTTAGAAAGTCGTCGATGCTCGGAGATAGATAACTCGACGAGAGTTAGTTTCTTTCTCTCTCTCTCTTCACGGTGATGGATGCCCTTTCAGGGATAGATTCGATAACCAGACGTCGGAGGATGAGAAACTCGAGTTCGATAATTTGAACGAATCGGAATACTCGATCGACGACTTCGATCCTAGCTTGGATAAAGTGGTGAAAGGTCGGTTGAACGTCGAAGACGTGGTGAGAAGACACAGGAGGATACGAAGGAGCGTCACGAAGAAGGACACCGTTGAACACGTGACCAAGATAATGGAGAGCATCGAAGAGGAATTGGACGATTTAAAGGTGATTCTAATTTTATTGAAAAAAATTTTGTTATTCGAGCACGGAATGAAGGAATAATTTCTATTCAGGCGACCCAAGAACGCCAGTCGGAACCAAGAAGAGCCTTTCCGCCGAAATGTTCTGTCCTTCCGCAAGGAGGGGTGAATTGTTCTGAAACCGTGTACCAGGATCCGAACGAATGGAGGAACTCGAGGCGAGAGATCGAACAGCAAATCAGAGAAATGAGGATGCAGTTGGAGACGTTAAAAGTAAATATCGAGGACGTTATATATATATGAAATTAATATTATATTATAATTAAATTTTTTAATTTTAGGTGAAATTTATAATTAATTAATAATAATTATAATTTTATAATATTGAAATAAAAAAATTTAGTAAAAAACTAGGATTAGATACCCTATTATAAAAATTAATAGAAAATATTAAATAATTAAATGTTGAATCATTAAAATTAAATAATATGGCGGCTTTTTATATCTAGTTAGAGAGACTTGTTTATTAATTTGATATTCCACGATAAGAATATATCGTGTATATATATATATATTAATAGAGAATAACTCTTTGTTCTTCGTCAGGATATTCGTCGTCACTTGATGACCAAGCGACCTCACGTTATGAAAGATCCGGAGGACGGATTCAAAAGCACGGAAGAGGCACATAAACCGCATCATCATCCTTCCAAAAACCACGTGAATCGGCATCACAAGAAACACGAGCACGCCAATACGATTAATCCTGCGGCAACGACCGTTCGTTCAACGACAGTGAAACGCGTTGATCAAGCGACGGAAGGAAGGTCCGTTGCGTCCACGGACACCACGGAGAATAAATCTAGATTTAACGTTACAGCCACGGAAAGTAGCGATACCGATACGATCACCACTTCGAGCGAATCAACTTCCACCGTTTCGTTATCGTCGACTTTTAAGCCAAAGAAAGCGTCTCGTCGTCAAAAGACAAAAGAGCCTGTAGTTGGTAATAGGACGGAAGCGGAGGACGACAAGGTGCAGAGACGAAGGAAGATCCACCATCATCGAAGGAACAATACTCTTTTCACGAATAGCGTGCACGACGAGGTGCCGATTGTAAATGTGAGCGAGACAATCGAGACGACTGTGACCGCGCAAAGCACTACGTCTAGGTCTCAGTATCATCATCAAACAACAAGGTACACGACAATTCCTACGACGACAATGAAGGAAACGACGATTCACAGGGAGAATACTGTCACCGGTATAGGCGACGTCACGAATGACTTTACCAAAGAAAATACGGTGGGAACGAACCCGCAAACGATATTATCCACAGGGTCAGAGACGATCGACAGAGAAACGACAGAGTCGCAAACGGCGACGCCACCGTTCACCAGGACGACTGGTACCGAAGGACGTTCCAGAACTACGTTCCCATCGACAGTCGTGACCACGACCACTACGTCTGTGACCATACCGGTTACAATTTCTTCGAACAAGAGATTTCCAAAGGTTCAGAAGAACAGGACCAACAATCTTGGACCATCCAGAATCGACGTTACCATTTTGGAATCCCCGGATAGGAGGAGCAGACAAGGTCAGTGATCCATGTACGTGAGATTTATTGATTTCTCTTTATCGACGTAAGATGATCGAACTTGTCTGTTCCATTATTATTATAGAAATAATAGATATAGCGAATAATAATCGCCGGTTACCACCAATGCTGAACAGTCCTTTGGAAGCACGTCACAAGTGTTACTGTGAGCCGGATTCTTACTCGAAAAAGGACGAGAAAGAGATCGCTCGGGAGGAAAGGAGAAGATTGAAGGAGGAACGTTTGAAGAAAAAGGAGAGGAAGCTGAGGAAGAAAGCCAAACTGGAGAAGGAGTGTTTAACCGAAAAGATGAACTGTTTCGAGCACGATAACGATCATTGGCGCACAGCACCGTTGTGGAGTGCGGGCCCATTCTGTTTTTGCATGAATGCCAACAATAATACGTACTCGTGCATCCGCACCATTAACGCGACACACAATTTCCTTTACTGCGAGTTCACTACCGGTTTGGTCACTTATTATAACCTGAGGATCGGTGAGTGCTTATTCACTTATATACATCGTGGATCGGGTGGGGAAGGTTCGAAAGGAAATTGGCTTCTCGGTATCGAAATTCCATTTCTTTTTATTCAGATCCGTTCGAACAATGGAACAGGGTTTCGTCTTTAACGTCTTTGGAACGTTCCTATCTTCACGATCAATTGGAACATTTAAAGGGGTGCAAAGGGACGAGGGATTGCACGGTTGGAAACGCGAAGGAAGCATTGCCGCAGCAACAGCATCAGAGATTCATCGCGAAAAGAAAATTCGCCAATACGTTCGGTACGTTCGATGTGCGAGACACGGAAATTGAAAACTTATCCTATTTATTTTGTTCTGTTCCCTTTTGTGCACAGAGGATATGTTCGTACCATCGACGTTACAAATTATTCGTGAGAGCGAGCTTAGCAGTCCGCCGAATAAGAGACGGAAAAAGTTGCAGAAGTAAGTAATCTCTTTTAATATTTTAATTATGTAATTCTTAATTTGTGGATTCCAGTTATTTCGAAAATTTATTATCCTATTCCCTACTATTCTTCCTCTTTTTATCGAACTTCTTTTTAGCGTTTGGAACAGACGAAGCAGAAGCTGGCAAACTAATTTTAGGCATCATCAAGACACGATGAATTATCGTCGGCACAGACATCAGTACTGATTATCATTGATTCGTTTGTTTCTTTTTGAACAAATTGTCGAAGGATGCGTGAAAGCATTGCCTTAGATGTATATTAATTTCGCGATGCATTTAATAATGTAATTTATTTAGTGATATTTAATCGAGGAAGGATACGTGATATTTAATTGAAAATGTTCGGATTCCATTAAAATTAGAATCGCGCTTTTAAAACGATTGTATTTCGCGTTGCAGAAAGAAAGAAAGAATCGTCTAAAAATGAATGGGATCGCAAAAACATGTCGACTATCTAAACGAATGATCTAAATAGATAGATTGACTTATACCGTCTCGAAAAACTTTGTTCTGCAATGTTGGTACATTATGTATATTTCTAATGCTATATTTTTCACAAAATTAAATTGCGACTGATCGGACGTGTTTCGCTTATATTAAATGACGTACACGTGTGATTAACAATCGGAAACGATCTAAACGATCTTTTTTTTTTTACTTAATAGCCGATATTTTTTATAATAATTTATTTACCATTACTACTATTACTACTACTACTCGTCTCTTTAGGTCTTTTTGTATACAAGAAAGCGAATAACTCGAATGAAACGATACTTGCCTAACGAGATTTAGAGTAATTTTAAAATCTTCGATTGTTCGGAATTAGCGACACGATACTTCTTTGAGAAGTGAATAATCGATATCAAGTAGGTTTATAAAGAAGAAAGAATTGTCTAAGGGGAGAGAGGGATCTGAGGGTTCGTCTATCGCGTCACAACGAGAAAAATTAAATTCGAGTTTGTGAGGATACGAACTGAAACGCACAACGAAAGAACGGAACACAATAGGAAAATCGTCCTGCCAAAAATTTGTTGTCTTTCTCTTGTGAAATTTTCTATATACCGATATACGTTTATAAAACGTTTGTTCTATCGAAGCTGCCATTCGTTTTATTTTTTTCCTATTGCCTTCATGCAATAACATTGCAAAATATGAATTGCGACTGCCACAAAGTATCTTACTAATCATTCTAGCCACATCATTACTAGGATGTTTGAATGGAGACAGGAAAAAAAAAAAAAGAAACAAAAATAATAATTCAAAATGTAATCAAAAAGTACACAATGTTAAGACTGTATGAGTTATAATTAAAAAAAAAAAATACTTTTAGCATTGTTTATTTTGTGCAATTTCCTGTCTTATTAGAAACAATATGAAAACTTTTGTGATTGCTACACCTAACAACAGTCTCTGTTATAATGAAAAAAAAATTGAATGCTGATGGATGTATATGTTACTATAAATATATACAAAAAAAAAAAAAAAAATGAAATTCATTATTTCATATATTTGCTTCAATAAAGTTAGAAGTTTTTGACTATATTTGTTATTTTTTAATGAAAACTAATTATAATTATCATTGTATAGTATGATTAGATTTTCTCCATTAGCATTTTATTTTTTTTTATACAAGTATATGTCTGTGTTATGTACTAGATTCTCAGTTAGTGTCCTGAGAATATCTTCAAGATTTTGAAGTTAAAGCAATGTATTTAAATCATGTGAAATAAATAAATAAAAAAATACTGTCCAAATTCCAACTAATATTTTATTTTTTTTATGTAAAAAAATAATGAACAATCTTTTTTAAAAATAAGAAATAATAAAAATAATTTTTTTAGATTTAGAAAGTAAAAAAAATATATATAGAATTTAGAAATCAATTGAAATGTCAAAATCTTCATTATCATCAAAAATATTTTCTTTACATTTAATTTCGGTTATATTTTTGCTATGGAAATCATTATTCTTACTACTATCTATTTCCTTTGATATAGAATTGTCATAATCTTCTTCATTATCATTAACAAAATTTTGTGTACAATCACTTTCATCAGAAAGATCTGATTTTATAGATTTACTTTGTGAGGATTTTATTATATTATCATTAAGATGAATTTTATCATCATTTTCATTGTATTTAATATTTTTACTAGTTGAAGCTTTGAAAATATTAGATTCAATCTCTTCAGTTGAATCCAAATATTTTGCCCACTTATTCTCAGTAACTTTTAATTTTAGTTGCTCAGGATAAGTACTCGTGTAATTATCATTAATATTATTGCATTCATCAAAAGATTTTGCAATTTTCTCAACCTCATGTTCTTTCATAAGATTTAATTTTTGAACAAAAACACGACAATCTTTTCCTGAGCCTTTAAAATAAACCTAAAAATTATAATTACCTACTACTATTTTATCATTTTTTGTATAACTATATCATGACATATTTATAATATATATTATATTGGAGATTGAAGATTGAATTTTTTCGTTAGAAATAGAATTAACTAACCTGTTTAAATGTCTGCTTGAAGTTACATATTTTACACTGCCATTTTTTCGCTTTTTTTATTATATGGACCTATTATTAACAGAAATCAATTATGTTATTAGAAATAATAATATGTTGTAACAGCATTTCGAAACTACGCATTTAACAATTACTTGATATGTTTTACATGAAGAACAGCGTAAAATATTCATTTCTTGCGGCATGATGTTAGAATCTATAGAAATATTAATACGAAAAACACTTTTTAGTATTAAAACTATTACTTTTTAAAGTAAAACAACTTTGAAACACTATTTCAAACTTCGAATCACTTTGATACTGAACAAGACAGGCTAGCCAATATGGCGTCATCAAAAATTGGCGGGAAATAAAGTTATTTCTGATTCATTTATTTTTATATAAAATAACAAATAAAAAGAAATTTTTAGTATATGCACATTAAAAATTATGCAAAGACGGAAAAACCCAAATTAAAGTTTATAATATAAAAATTAAAAAAGTTTGAATTTGGATGTTTATTTATTAGTTCGTCCTAGTCACCGTTAGGTAATGGTTCGATGTGAATGTTACAATTTTTGAAAGTTGCTTATAACTACGAAAAAAGAAGAAATATTTGAATAAAATTAGTTTCAAATTAGTTCTCTGAAACTCAAGTTTTAATTTGAATAATTAAAAGTTAAAAAGTTATCCCAGAAGGAACGTGAATGATTCGATTTTGTTAAATTTACTTCGTTTTAATGTGCGTATTTCAAATTTTTAGTTTCATTTAAATATTTTATTGCAAATGCGTTTTTATTGCAAAATTATAAAAAATTATAAGGAATTATAAGGAATTATAATTGATTATATCAAAAAAATCAATTTTATTTTATTTTATTTATATTTTATTTCTTATATCACACACTTTATCATCATGCATATATATTTTTGAAACATTTGTAAAAAATAAATTAATTAATATTAAAATATAAATCTCTATTCAATGTCGATTTTACAATTGGGTAAAGCTTCAGTAAGTTCTTTATAAATAATATCATTCGTGACAGCTGGTAATCCTTTAATTTTTAACTGTTTCAAATTTCTGAAATAAATTCAAAAAATTAATAATATCATATTCTTTTTTAACATATTTTTAATATTTTTATATATATTATATACTTCAATATTTTCAATTCACGTAGACCATTATCATCAATACTTTTACATCTTATAATTTCCAAATTAATCAATGAATCTTGAAGAAGTGATAAATGTGGTATAGCATTATTATTAATATATCTGCACTCTTCAAATTTTATATCTTTTATATATTTGCATCCCTCTAAATTAATAATTAAATGAATAATTATAATTATATATATTTAATTTTTCCCATTTTATTAAATCAAAAATTATAATATTGACCAAAATGTTCAAATCCAACATCACATATACCAGCATTATTTGCTTCAATAGCTTCAATGTAATAATTTCCATGAGATGGTAATGCATTATAATCAGTTAATTGTTCAGAAAAATTTTTCCATCTAACAAATGCTCCATTTCTTAAAAGCCATTCTGCACAAGCACGGTCTGGACCAATTTCTTTTATACGGTCAGCATCAACTCTTAAAAAAATAGTTTCATACCATTTTTTCAAAAGCTATTTCAAAAGCTATCTTATACAAAAAATTAAATAGCATTGTTTTAATTTAAATTACCTATTGAATATAACAGTAATCCAATAAAAAAAAGATCTATTTTGACTTCTTATAGTTTGAAAAAAAACAGATGTTAATCTATTCAATGTCTGAAATTAAAATATATGTAGTAATGATTTTATTTAAAAATAAATGAACAAATTTTTTTATAGTCTTACATAAGTTGTCATTATCTTTTTGTATTATTAAAAATATAATTAAAATATTATTATCAAACACTTAGGTTATACGATATGAAAAATAAATCATACAATGAAATCATTATTGTTTACAAAGCATAAAATTGTTATAGCTATAATTGTAATGCTTTCGAAATAATATTTTACTATATTTACTTCTAATAAAAGAATTTATGCGTAATATATCTAAACATTTGAACAATAAGATGTAAATATTTCAATAGATGGCGAAAAAATTTTTTCAAGGTAGATAATAAAAAAATTTTTATTTGAATCGATAATTTCTTTGCTACATTATATACGAGAAATGTTGAATCACAAACAATTGAATGGAATTTTTAATCGTAATTTTAAGCTATTAAATTCTTATCAGTCATATACAATAAACAAATTATTAAATATAGATGTCAGTGACATACTGGATTTCTATAGTCGATACTATTCTATATTATCGTAGTCTCTGGATTTCATAATTGTATGTGCCGCCGGTTTGAAGAGTCAAAACAAACCTGTGTGATTACGCACAGCAGTGGTTACGTTTGATACGGAAATTATTAAATAGCAGCAATATGAGTCGAAGAAAAAGAGCGAAGGTATGTTTTTTTATTCTGTTTTATTAGAATTGGTATTATTTTTTTAAAAATATGTTCTTATGGTATGATATTGTGCGATATATATAATAAATAAATTTATTATTTTATATATTAACTATGATACATTTGTATTGTTTTCCCCCCCTAATATTTTTTCATATAATGGTACAAATTGATACAAATTCTAGTATAAGAGACAATTCGTATATGATTATCTTAAGTGATATTCTGTCGCAAATAAGTGGATTAGGTTATGTTTAGGTTAGAGTCATTATTTGTTATTTATTTTAGTTTATCATCAATCATAAGTTTATCTTTTTATAATTAAAATCGAATATGTTATGTAGACATATTAAAATAGACATATTTTACGCAACTTTTAAGTCATAAATGCTTATAGAAATTTTTAACCTATACGTTAAGATAGATTTCTATATGATATTTTCAAGATTTTCTTACAAAAAAATTTATAATTAAATATTGTTTCCTTGATTTTTTAATTCTTATATATTTATATATTAAATATAGGTAGAGTACAGAGAAATGGAAGAGAAATATAATCAATTAGAGGATGAAAATGCTTCAGATACATCGGAAAAATCTAAACCTGGTCTTGTAACGCCAGAAAAAAAAGTTGTTCCTGAAGTAAAAAAAGAATCTGATACAAGTATATCACAATCTGTTCCCACATCTTCAGCACCAAGAATTGAAGTAAAAGAAGAAGACGATCAAGATAGCGATCATGAAGATCCTCATGGTAAATATATTTTTTAATAAAGTGTTATGTTTTTTTTTTAATAATAATTTTTTTATAAAATTATAATTTATATTTCATTTTTAGTAAAAGAATTACTTAATGGTTTGGAAGGAGCAGCATTTCAAAGTCGTCTTCCATTCGATAAATTAACTTCTACAGAAGCTGCTTGTTTCCCAGATGTTTCTGGCGGTCCACCACAGACTCAGAAAGTTTTTCTTCACATTCGAAACAGACTTGTATGATATTTATCCTTATAAAAAATTAAATTTAATTTCCATCCAAACTTATTAATGTTTTTATTTCAGTTGCAATTATGGCTTGAAAATCCAAAACAACAATTGATAATTGAGAATGCTTTGCCAGCAATAGAACCACCTTATAATAGCGATACTGTATTGGCACGTCGAATTCATGCATTTTTAGAAAGACATGGTTTTATTAATTTCGGAGTATTTAAACGACTTAAAGTAATAATATATTCAATTTTTTAATAAAATTTGTACAAATATTATTTATAATATGTGAAATATTATTATAATCATTTATTTATTTTTTATTTTAGCCATTACCTACGAAGAAGTTAGGTAAAGTGATCGTAATTGGAGCAGGTATTGCTGGTTTAGCTGCAGCCCAACAAATGCAACAATTTGGTTTAGAAGTAATTGTACTCGAAGCACGGGTATTATCGCTTAAAATTATAATTACAATATATTAAAACGATATATATTATTTTCTACATATATTTCCAATTTTGATGTTTTATAGGATCGCGTTGGTGGACGAATTGCAACATTTCGTAAATCTTCATATATAGCCGATCTCGGGGCTATGGTAGTCACGGGTTTAGGTGGGAATCCCGTAACAACACTTAGTAAACAGATTAATATGGAACTTCACAAAATTCGACAAAAGTGTCCTTTGTACGAAAGCGATGGGCAAACGGTTAATATAAATATATTTTTACATTGTAATAATTAAATGTTTAAAAAATTATTTATGCAGTTTTAATACTTTTCCGCAAGTAGGTCCCAAAAGATAAAGATGAAATGGTAGAGAGAGAGTTTAACCGGTTATTGGAAGCAACTTCATATCTTTCACATCAATTAGATTTTAATTACGTGGGTAGTGCTGGATCTGGACAAGGTGGTAATACACGACCGGTTTCCTTGGGTCAGGCATTGGAATGGGTGATACGTCTACAAGAGCAAGGTGTCAAACAGCGTCAAGTAGCACATCTACGTTCCGTACTATCGCTCCAAGGTCGACTTATCACCAATCAACATAGGGTGAGTATCTTAATTATTTTTATCTAAAATTATTAAAAAATACTAATAGTTCTTATACCATAGATGATAGCAATCATGGATCGTTTGGTCGAGTTAAATAAGCAATATAAAGAAATGACGGAAAGTAAATTACAAACACGTGATATAACGCAAGAATTCGTATTGCGTTCAAAATTACGCGATCTTCATAATGCATGCAAGGTATAATTATCAATTACTTGCACCTATCTTTATTCATATATTCTATATCAAGTAGACGTTATTTAATTCTTTATATTAGGAATGGGATCAACTTTCCGAACAACAGAAAGAAATCGAGGCAAAGTTACAAGAATTGGAAGCCTCCCCTCCCAGGTAAGTTCCTTATACGTATGCATCGTAGATTAAAATTTTTATCGGTATATAAATTTTTTGTTTATTGTTCATAGTGACGTATATCTTTCTTCGAAGGACCGTCAAATATTGGATTGGCATTTTGCAAATTTGGAGTTCGCCAACGCGACGTCGCTATCGAACCTAAGCCTGAAACATTGGGACCAAGACGACGACTTCGAATTTACTGGCAGTCATCTAACAGGTCAGTCTCTTTAATAACACTTGCAAATAGCGTTTTGTCTTGTTTACTTTCACCATGCGAGCAATTAGAATTTGTTGAACCGCTAAATTGACCATAATTATTATCAATTGTACACGTTAAGATACGTTAAACACGCGAAAACATTCTAATTTCGTACGTGATTCGTCGAGTATCTCTGCACGGCGTAACGCGTACATACGGTATTATATCGACGTTCTCGAGAAATTGCTTAACCAGCCAGTAGATGGTATAGATAACAGGTGAATTATTCGCGGGTTGCATCTCCTTTACAGGCGTCGGATAGTCTCTCGCACTCGGTGTCCGTGCGGTTGACTTTATCAACCTTATTGAAAGTCGATAGCACGAGATTCCGTGTAGATAGTACGCTATATCCCTTAACCGATCGGTTACCAGAGTTCTCATTATGTGAAATTATACTATGATCATATAGCGTGTTCGCGGTTCTCGAGTCTACTAATGCGTTAACAAAAACGAAAGCGGCGAGAAATATGACTATAGATAATCAAGCGGTTTCGTATTTTACACTGTTCGAGGGATTCTCTCTGTTCCTAACTTGCAGCAAACTTGACTTAACGGTCTACCATACCATTTCCCTAATCATTATCTCAAGTATTTACATTAAACCAACCAAGGAACCTTTCCGGAAATAATTGGCTATCCCATATCCCGTTCGAATCGCTACGTTCACCCATTGCAATTAAATCTGTTCGAAGCTTCTGACCGTAACCTCGTGACGTACCACATTCCGTGTTACCATTCCGCTCGTCTCATACTCGCGCAACGAGAGGAAGACAGGAAGACAGGTTCATCGTGGAGCCGTGGCGTTCTCGGAGCGCGGAATTATCTCAACGACATTACTTGTAATTCCTTCCTTGACACGATTCACACCCGGAAGCCTGTATGGTTTCAGGTACGAGAGACAGAGGCGTCGGTTTCAACCGGTTATCGTTGATCTTACACGAAATATTGTACCCGGTATGTAAACGAACGGTAAACGTTGCTTTAATAGATATCCCAAGTAGACGTTGGTGGATGTTGCGTATCGGTGAACCGTAACGCATCGGAATAACGTGGTCGCGTGTGTCGCTACCGCGAAGCACACTCGACTGACGTGAACGAGCGAACCGGTCGAGTCAGGCTCGAATTCCAATATTGCTCCACTGTCGTCCGCGCACTGGCCGCGCAGTCGAGTGCATCGTGCGAGAGAGCGAACTCGAGCGAGTGAGCGTGGCCCCTTAACGCACAGAATGAAACAAGAGACGCGCGAGGAAGGAGGAGGAGGAGGAGGAGGAGGAGGAGGAGGAGGATGGTGCCTCTCGCCCCCGGTTCTTATTGGGGCCACGGTGGTGCGCGGCCATGGTGGTCAATTCGAAATTAAAGCGATGCCCACAGTCCATGACTGACGTGCATCGATGATCATGACGGTCTGCCCGCAGGTTCTTCCCGGCGATTAATGAGATGTAAACAATTTAACGGTAAATTAAGCACAACAATAGGCTCTCCCCGGTGAATCCCTCGGTCCAAAGTTGGGGCCCTGAACGGCGGATCCTCGATGTAATCGGTTCTTGGACGGAGCCTCGAACTTCTCGCGATCCTCCGGCTCCGGTTTACGGACCATCGCTTCCTTCTCCATTCTTTCACGAAACGAATCCCGGCTACAGGGTTAATAGCCACTGACCGAAAAACCGTTTAGGCCTAAGAGTATTCCTCGAGATACTTTTTCGCCTTTGAATGTCGCCGACCACGGTTCCGCTTCTATTTCTCCGGCAACGTCTCTCGGATCGGTGTCACGTCTCGTTAGCTTAGTCGATTTATGCAAATATACCTTTCCCCCTCCCCCTTCCGTCCGAATATAAAGATACTCCACGAATTTTCGACCGATGCATGGACGGTTTCGTCTGTTTTTTTTTTTTTTTTTTTTTTTTTTT